TATATATATATATATATATATATATATATATATATAACACCTTATAGTTATACCAATGCTAACCTCATAAAATCACAAACCAAGCTGTGTGCAAAACCCCACGAAGAGCCTCTTGTACCTCTTTAATCATTTACATACAGCGCTGAGCTTTTCTTTTTTGCAATATTTGAAAGAAATAACACCGTTATCTTTGAAACCACTTCCTTTCTTAGAGATAAAGATGTCACCTACTCATTGAATGATTGTTTATGGGAGGAGCTACCTCTCAACCATATTGCTGAAAACCGTATCAGACCGGGAGAGCTCCAATGTTAGTGTTGCTTAGTGATTTACTCGGAGAGCGACTGTGACGAAAAGTGCAGATGTTTAGCTAGATCGATTTGATCCAAACAGGTTTAAACCAAGTCAACGTCTTTTTTCCTTTGTAGTAGCTTTTTCAAATTTGAGGGTATACTTTCCATCTATGGAAAGTGTGATGCAGTGGTAGAGGTGCCGTAGTGATATGCAGTTCCGGATCAGTACATATCGTTACGCTGTTAATCTGCGTTCATACCCACCTTAAGCCTACCAAGCTTGTCTTTGATCTTTTGCTACATATTCGATAAATTGGTATAAAAGAAATCTATGGAAAATTAGCAGCACTGATATGTAAAGAGTGATCAACACAAGTCATTAATTAGAATACACTCTCAGTCAAGTACTTCGACGATATCATGTTTAACATGTTATTCTTTGCGTTGGCACAGAAATCGATCAATGTCATGACCTATCCTATCATATCTGCCCCTCGATATTTTCTGTCGATTTTTCAAATTATTAAGGCTTTCCAAAAATACAACTTGCGGATACTGGTCTACTACGTAAGGCGACAATGAAAGATTCATATTACTTGCCTTTTAAGTTAGTATTGCTAGAACGTTAAGAATGGTAGGTGTTATGTACTGAGTGTCAGTATTGAAGTATCACGTTTTCATATGTTCTACAAACCTTTTTAGTGAATTATTTATAAAAACAAGTTCTCATTATGCTTAGAGATTTGAGAGAAAAGTATTGGCGTTAAACAGTCTTTCTGGTACGTGTCTACGCTGTCTATTTCAGCAGTGATATCGTGCAGGTGAGTTTTGCAGAAGGTTGATTGTGACCTTGGTCTATACGCAAACTAAATCTAAGCAATCTTTTTACAAGAAGCTCTCCATCTATCGGTTTGGCGAATCGATGCCGGAATAACCTGGAAGAATAAGCAGTGCTGACATGGCAACATACTAGTAGTTCTCTCAGTTGATTATAAAGAGCTCCTCATTCAAATAACGCTGGAACATCATGACGGATGCGTGGCGCATCTTACAAAGAGATAGAAAATGCTAATGCTTATCCTTATTTTCATCTCTAAAATATAGATCATACCATATCAATACGATTCCGACAACAATACAAATAATCGACTTGTATTACTTCTTCACTGAATGAAAAAAATTGACTGGAGGTCTGAAGGTGTCGGAGAGGCCGCGATAGGATGGGTGCTCACGGGCGCTATCCGGCCACTGTGTCGCGCGGTGGTTTTTGCCTGCTCCCTTTCGGTCCTGAGCCGTACACCACTCCTTGACCGCCCGGGTCGTGCCATCCTCCGACGGCACAACCCTGGCGACGCAACGCTTGACACGGACGCCCGGTCGCCGCACTCCACGACCACCGCGGGACTCCTCCCCTCACTCCATCCACACCAGTCTACCGCCTGGAAGCTGGCTCACAGGCGCCCGCCACGACGCCCGGTGTCTGTGCAGCGATTTCCCGGCTATACTAGTAAGCTGTTTAGGAAAATGTATTATGATATGGTATAATACAATGCGAAAAAACCGCGAAGAAAACCGGTAATTGCAGAGAGTGATAAAAAATCAAGAATGCTTGACGATAAAGTGATAACTGTCGATGATGGGGACGATGAATGATATAGGCTCGAGTACTGATCAGTACATGTGATGTACGTATTCGTTTTCATAGTGAGTTTAGAGGTATGACAACGAACTTCTGCATGCTTACATATGACGGTATGATCTTCATCACTGCACTAGGTGTCTCTCTACTTGGAGACCCTGAGATTATTATTGTGAAATCTAATTACGTTTGAGAATAATTTGGAGATCTATGGAACAATCTAGCTGCACTGTTTAGCCTATTTACAACAATTTTTGGCAGAATGCACTATTTTTGGCACTTGAATAGACTCAATCGATGTCATTACTTTGGTACTTCATATCAATATGCAGTAATGGCGTAGTGACTTAATACACGTAAAGCGTCGAAAATTGGAATCCGTAGTAACACGTGGAGTTCGTTGACTACAGTAACGCGGAGCTTTTCACATAGCTGTATGTGCTCGTCCATTGATAAAAGATGTGGTTGAAAACTGTGCTGAATTCCAGCAATCGGTTTTCTTTCATTGGAACTGAAAACAGCCCCACAATCTGCTATACAACTGAACAGTCTGTACAGCACCCAAACCTCAAACATCAATGATTGAGGAATTCGTATTTGTTGATGATAACGAAAACGGCCACGCTGAGTTCAATAGTTGCAATCATCTTTGTGAATCGCAAAATAGAATGTGCATCTACAATTATATGAAGCAAAAACAATCACATAAATTTATTCAGTTTTTTTTCGTCAAAATATCAAAAACTGACGTTCTACTCAATTTTTTTCTATGATGCACCTTCATCTTCGGTTATTTGGTTCAACTGTTAATTCTCGGAGATGTGATTCAGGGAAAAAAATTACTTACTATGACTCATTTGCCTCTATAAAGTAACCAATTATTTTCTTGGCCGATTTTTAAGCTATGATGCAAATGACGGTGGTGATATTCATCCTTAACACTTTAACATTCAGTAAATCGTTCAACGAATGAATATTTCCTTAATATTATTTATTAAAGGACATGTTACATGTGTTGTGCTCGAATCGTACTATTCGTGGTGAGGTCACAATCGCACCGCGATGGTTAGGTGATGCAATCGGACGATTATGTAATTTTAAAAGAGTATTGCTCAGTTGCGAACCGTACGGTGATGTACTGCATGGATATGGAACTGTGACGGAGGTGAACAAGTAATTGTGTCCTAATGATTACCTTTGAAGCTACAATCTTACATATATTGATCACTATTTTTTGAGGAATAAAAATCAATCCTCATACTATGTTGTATTTTTCAGGTAGTACCAGATATAAGCGTGCTAATTAAGCCGAAAAATAGTGACGATTTTATCTTCGGTTCACTTTCTAGTATAGCTCCAGAATCGAAGGTGATCTTATGAAGACGTATAGATAATTTCTATACTTCCTTTATGCTGTGCCCTTTTCAAGTATAAGCTTCATTCAAGCCATTTCTTAAGAATTATTTAGTATGAAATTGGCGATTACGTTCGTTTTACGGCATGCTTGGATATACCCAAATCCACCTACAAATGGCGATGCCTTGGAATCGCTAAATCGTCACGAACAGATATGATTGGAGAGGAGAAGATGGTAGATCTTCTACTATGTTATACAGGAGAATCCTCAAAAATCCTCCTCACTGGTTTTCATTCGTATTCTACTTCTTTAAAATAGATGGATAATAGCGGATTCAAACTCGTCATATTTTTCAGTGCTCAATGGAAATTGAAGTTTCAAAATCCGTGATAAACAGAAATGTTCAACATTCTCCTACAAAGCGGGTAATCAAAGTCACCTACCGTTTTTTTTTTAAATGCTTTATGTTAAACTTAACTGATGATACCTGAAACTCCAGTTATTGAATCGGTCGTTCTTTTAGTATTCTCCTCTCTTCATTGAAAACAAAATCAATCACAATAAATGTTACTCAAGTAGAAATCGATCGTAAAAACCTCGAACTTGGGAAGTGATACATTTATTCAAACAATACTATAACGAATAATCACTCAAACGGACTACCTCATAAGTTACTGGATCCATATGAAGAAGTTGGTAACTATTATGCTATTGTTGGAGAGACGGAATGCGAACGTCACTGTGAAACAAAAGATAGAGAAATCATATCAACTTCAATGAACTTGATAAGTGACTATGAAAGATGATAGACTTCGTCAATTGATGACGTGAGATAGAGGTTGAGATGTTCTGAGATTAGGCGAATATGAGACTAGACCGTACGAGAAGAGCAATGATCATCTAAAGGTTTGTTAGGGAGAGAGTTCTTTCTGCGTCCATTCATTTAAATATGTAAATGTTTTCTTTTAAGTCCGAGGTACAATCTATTAGATAAAAGGGACTGAGACTCTATGGAAAAAATGGTCGTCATGGTTAATGAATGCGGTTTTTTTGTGGTCGTGTTGTATCCCACTAACCGCTTGATCCTCTACTATTTACATTCATTAATATTTGATCGCTGAAATTTAATGTATACCAATCAAACAAGTTGTCATGAGATTACTGTAGTGAAAAAGAAGGTAAGAACTCTCCGTGGGAAAAGTCATTACAGTCCTTCCTCGCTAAGCCAATGGATTCTCATTGATGGATTGTTTCGTTGCCGTTGATTTTCGTCAAACAGTTGAGCAACAAATAATGACGATAGGTGGTCGAAATAAACAGTAGATTATTCACATATATTATCAAATCGGTAAAATTTCTTTATTATATCACAAATAGTCATAAAGTAGGAATTATTCGAGAGAGCATTCTTTGCACCACAAACTATCTACCAGCCTTGAACCTCCTGCTCACCTATGAAGATTCCCCACAGTTTTATGCTATGTGGCGATCTGCACTAACGCTTTGATCAAGTCTAAAAAAAATTGTGTAACATCCACAGAGCGCCTAAACGATGTCTTCTAAAAATGGAACAGCATTCACAATGCAAAGTCCGAAAGCAACGTTTGAAATACATCCCGTCTTTGGCATTCAACATCAAAGAACAGAAAAGTCAACCATATAGTATAGGAAAGCAGATGTCAGATCGTCAATAAGAACTGTGCAGTAGACTCCAAGGAAGCGCAGCCGTTTTTATAAACGATAAGGAAAACGTTGCAGCCAACGTCAACAACCGTGGTCGGATAGAAGTTCAGTATTGTAGGGAAGAACCGCGCAAACGTCAGTATGCTAAAAAACCAATATCATAGTATTTACTATCATGCGGTAGAGATGACCTTCTAAAAATTGTGATTGGCCAAGTCGCCTCTCTTGTATCATTAATTCGACATCAAGTAATTAATTCATTAAGTAATGTAGTTAGGAGGCGCAGTGTCTCAGTGGTTGAGGTGCCGCTGTGACACGCCGGCCCGAATCAGTTGGCGGCCGCTCCCCAGGCTTTCCTAGTCCTCCGGTGTCGATAAATTGGTACCAGAGGAATGTGGGTATGATAATTAGCATTGGCTTGGTCAAGGGTAGTCAACTCAAGTCACTGTATAGACCTGGCATGCATTCAACCACCTTCACGATATAACGATGATAAGAATGCGTTGGGTCATCCCGCCCCAAAGAATTGATCAACGCCAAATTTCTCTTATTATTACCTGAAGTAATGGAATCAATGTGAACTGTTCATGGCTACACGTGATGTCCTTGTGATCTCATCTGTTTTTGAAAACTGAATCTCCCTCTATCACTTAACTCATCTTAGTATACAGAGAAAAAAAAAGTTAATAAGTTTATAACTTGGTGATTTTCAGTTACCTCATCTTGAAAATGATGAAAATCTTGTCGATCTTCAAACAGGTGCGTTTAGAATACGTCCTGTCCTATATTTGCTCTACTTTTTTGTAATTATTCTAAAATATGATGTTGTTCCAAAACTATTACTTAATTTAGTCGTTTTATTACATCTAAGAAAATGCCATAATCATCATCGTACTTTTGAGGCTATTGATCTATCTGATCTAAATAGATCATGAGCCACGAATCTGGAGATGTGACATGGGAAAAATCCGTCAGTGATGTCATTAGAATGGAAGATGGATCGTAAATATTTTAGAAGTGGCTGCAGATGATGAAGCCGAGTCAAATAACACAAACAATCATACTATCGAAACTGACAAGTGTGATGAGTCAAAATTTGTCGCCGATCTGAAAGAACAACGAACGAATTCAAAAATGTAAAAAAATTATGCAATATTTTTGGGACAACATTTTGAGACACTGTATGAAAATTATTTATTATCAAGTTACGAATCGCTGTGTGTATCGTATTAGATTCTTATGTTTTTTCCTTTATTTCTTATACAAATAAGTTAATTTTCTTGTAAAAATTTATTTTTTGACAAGGTGAAATATTTTAATTTTATTTTGTTTAGTATTTCAATATAAAAAACGATCAGGGTTCATCAATAGAATTCTTAGGAATGAAATTTTTACTAAACTTTGCTCGGCTTAAAAATATATAGATATTTTTTTTTTCGTAGTGATGAATAGATAATTAAATACACTCTTCGAGCAGTTTCAATTCCGTTTTCTACCTTGTAGAGAAGATGTCGTCGGATCGTCGTCAAGGATCAATCGATTAGATGCACGTAATATCGAATCAGATGACGATATACCTCTATGCATGAATGAGATTCCGAGAAATACATTCAGGTGAATCGATGCTCGTTATGCAATGCATATGTGTGAGGTACGGCAGCTCCTCATGTTGTTTCGGAATAGCGATTTTCCTGCAATGTGTATTCGTCTTCTGATTCTCGTACAATGCATACAGAAGATCAGTTCAGATATGGTGATGAACCACATTGTCATTTTACCATAACGGACGATGCGGATCG